GATAGGATGAAGACGTCTGACTACAACCAGATCCCTGTACCTGATTTTTATCCCCTCTCCTAGGGGAGGCAGACTAGGATGTAGCTTTCCTCTGCAACTCTGATGGCTTTCTAATGCTGACAACAGGAAAACCTCATGTTTGGTTTGTAAATCAGTTAGGACTCGAGGCTGTTTGTGGAGCAGATGAGCATAATAAAAAAGTGATGTGTCGTCCATCATTTGTGCTGACTGTGACCATGCCTTGAGCTGATCCTGCTGGGAAGGCTGTGCTGGGCACGTCTGAGGCAACGGGCTGCTGTGACTGCTGATTTGTGAGGCGAGTCAGACATTTACCTCGGAGACACAGGCACATGGAAATCCCACTCCGTTGTTTGCCAGGATTGCATCCAGTGCGCCATAGGCTGCAGCGTTGGGAGGAGAATTCAAACAGCAAAACGCCGTGGCGTTGCAGCGGGCGTTGCGGGCTGAGTCGGGCTGTTGAGCAAAGTGTCTGTGAGCGAGAGTTGGGTGTGTGTGTCTTAAGGCTGGTATTGGATTGCTGGGTGTCTCAGCCCCTTGGGCAATGATACTGGGATAGCATCGACCATACCCTCATGAAGTGATCTCTTGTTCTTCCTTTGTGGGCAGTTACTGGGCGAGTGATGCCTTTTGCTTGTAGTTTGAAACTGAGACTGCTTCCTGGCCTGCCTGATGTCTTCAGGCTGCTACGCTGTGCTCCGGGTCAGACAGGTCCAAATAAACCGTGGTTTGTATGCTGCACAGCTGGGAGCCATGCTCTTGCTTCTCCAGGCCCTCCCTTTGATTATAGTCTTCTATTTCCCCATCTGTAGTGTGGCAATAGTATCCATACCTTTGCCCAAGGAGTATCGAGGTTGAACCTTGGTTGTTAATCAAGGTAAGAGCCCCTGAACAAATATGCAGCGTTATCGGCTATTGTCATCATTTCTTGGTGCAAACTCTTGAGCCTTTTGTTGTTGTTGGCTCCCCACAGTGTGACTAGATAACATAATCTCCCATCAGCCTTCTCCACCAGCTCATTCAGTTGCTATTATCAGGACCTGGCTTGTGATACTGCTGCAGCCCCCCGGGGACACGGTGACATGACTGAAGTGGCTTAAGCGGGATGATTACAGAGGGCTCCTACTTACACATGCTTGCCTTGTCTAAACACCGCCAGCCCAGGAGCACGCTGGCCATGGTGTGTGGGTGTCAGCACTTGATGTGAGTGACAGCATGCGTCTTTCTAGTAATCGGCGTATCGCTTTGCACTTCAGCCATTTTGGTGCTGCTGTGCTCCTGCCCCTCTGCTTGCTGAGGGATTTGATAGATGGAGGCAAGAGTCTGAGCTGGTGTCTTTTTTTTCTTGGTCTTCCCACATGGATCAAGAAGACATGGCCCAGGTCTAATGAAAGTGCAGCTGAAGAGAATAAAACGCTTTCTGATGGAATCTCTTTGCCCTCCAGGGACTATATGCCAGAGCAAAGCCCAGCGTGTGCGTGCAGATGCTGCTCTGCCTTCTCCTGGGCTGTCCCGTAGCTGGACGGGCTGTGGGTTACACCATCCCACAGCCCATGATTTCGGAGGAAGATGAGCCAGGAAGGATGAACGTTTGCAACACTGCTGACCTTTGCTATGTGTTCTGGTAGATCTCTTTGCTACTTTGCTATGATTTGGGTGCTCACTTGTAACTCCACAACAGCCCCAGGACCAAGATGTGTTCATGGGATGTGCTGCAGCTGGGCTGGCAGATTAGATGATGTAAAAATCCTTCAGGCCCTGGCTACCTGCCTTTCCCAGGAGGAGATGCAAGAGAGCGGCTGTGAATCTCCCAGAGAAGAGCAAGAAAAGCAATACTGAAATTAGTGGCGAGTAGAGAGCTGTTCCTTCCCTGCCATCGAACCCTGGCAGGAGTGCCCTCGGCAGGGCCTGCTCGGCTGGGCAGAGCTCTTGGCTGGCTGCCTCCGCATCTCCTGGGGCGGAGGCTTCGCTGTGCCTAAAGCCCTGCTCTTCATGGAGCGCAGGGCAGGACAGGTCGAGGTAGGTGTTGAAGTCAGCCCCTCGTGAGCCCACAGCAGGTCTGGTTAGATGTCCTGCTGCTTTTTTCTGTTACAGACTCCTTAGGGTACTGTTTGCAGCACTGATGGAGGGGAGCGGGTAGTTCTGCGCCGGTATTTTGAGGTTGAATGGCAGGAGGTTTTAAACAGAAGACTGGGTTGAGAAAAAATTGGGTTATAATCCACCCTGAAATTAAGATGCTCACTTCAGGCATTTGTTTCTACCTTGGGGACATGGGGACGTTCACTCCAGCCTCTCTTTTGAAGGTGATACCTTCTGTTCTGGCACACTGGGATTTTGAGGGGGGGGTCACTTTTGCACCGAGGCTGGATCCTGTTTCCTTCTCACTGTGTTAACCATACAGTGGCCTCGGGAGCCGCTTCACCTCCACAGCAGGGAGGAGAAGTGACTAATGGGGGTACGTCTGGTCACCTAACAGGGCGACGCGCTCAGCAGGACCTTTGGCCACTGTCTGCAGCCGGCCCGGGACACTGGCCCTGGCTGCCAAAGAAGAGGGGGCGATTGAACCTGGCAGCCGGCTTATCCCGTGTCTGCATTCGGGAAGACGGAGGCATTAGCTCAGGCAGTTGCAGTTTCTTCCCGAAAGAATGCGTCACGTTGCCATCTGTCCTTGTTTAATGTAACGTGCTGGCTGCCGAGCCAGGCAGCAGAGGAGGAACAAGGCTTGGCACCTTCCTTCTGATTTGTGGCTTTCCCTGCAGCGCTTGTTTTACTTCATGTTCAAGACTGGCTTTGCTTCTCACTGTGGTAGGTATTTTTTTGCTGTTGTGCAATGGTTTTTTAGCAACAGATAGCACCTACAACAGATTTGGGCAGACTTACTGGAGAAGAGGAGAATTAAGTCAACTTATGTGGGGCAAATATTCTTGAAGAGAATGTGTGCCTTCATCTGATCCCTCTCCCCAGAAGGCAATCTGTGCACGGTATCACATAGGGCTTGCTTTGCCATCCAGCTTGTGCAGAGGAGCTGGAGCTGAAGCCTTCTTGGGTCACCGTGTGTGTGTGGCTGAGGGGCTGCCAAAGCCTGGGGTATTGTTTCGAGCTGGATGCAAGGCCTCCCTTTTTGGGAAGGTTTTTAAGAATAGATGGTTATACACGCTGTTAGCCCGGGATCGAAGCTTCTCAGACGAGCTCTCCCCGGATTTAGCAGTGGTGGCAGAGGACGTTGTTTCTTTGAGCAACCCGCATGTTTCTGGCAGAGGTTGCATGCTCCCCCTGCCAGCGAGCTGCCGAGGTGGAAGGGAGGGTGCCTCTGATCACCAGGTTAGCGTGGGGCAGGGGGCAACAGGCAGGCAGCTCTGCTGCTGCCCTGACGTCAGGGGACACAGCCCCGGGCAGAGCAGCAGACTCGCAGGGAAGCATCCTGAGCTGAAACAGCCAGATTTCAGTTTGTCAGAGCCCTAACAGTGTCCCTTCTCTCTAAGTGACGTAAGTTAACACCAGGGAGAACCCACATTGTCTTGCTCTGCCAGCGGGCACCTGCTGCAGGTGTTGCTGTGCTGTGGAGGTGGGATGGACTTGGCATCTCTCGAGACTGGCTTAGGTGGTGAGTAACTCGCCCCACCACTGAGTGGGGGGGCTAGAGCCAAAACGCCGTAGTGCCCTTCACACAAGAGACTGCAGGGACTTGCCTGTGCTCGAAGGAGATGCGGTTAAGAGGCAGGGAGGAGCATCAGCCAAGAGCCCTTTAGCTGTTGACAGGTTTTATTTTTGAGATGGTGTCATACCATCTGGAAATGGCGCTTTGAACATGGGCTGGGCAGCATCTCTTAACCCTTTGGGATAGTCTAGACCCACTTCTGTGCAAAGCTGCTGGGTTTGGGTTTAACAGAGAAGAGACTGTGGCACGTGGTGCTCGGCACAGGAGAGGATATCATAGCCCTTGATGCCTGGGTGTGTTTGGTGCTGTGCTGCCTGTTCAGCTCGGTGCAAAGGTTTGTCTGGACAGTGTGTTCCTTCAGTGCTGGAGGAGAGATGTGGATGAACACCGAGGGGGCGGTAGCATTCGGTGAAAAACCCTTGTGAACCTGTTGGTTTTCAAGTGAGATGCCATCAGTAGGTTTCAGAGTTATCAGTGAGGTGTTCTGCTGGTAGCTGTGGGCTATTTCAGCCCCTGCAGCCCGAGGCAGATGTGAGGACTGAGGTTTGAACTGCTCGGATGCTCACACGTGAGCTTAGGTCTAGCCGCAGGTCTGTGCAACACCCGGGGAGCCGGGCTGCCCTGCTCCGGCAGAGCTGTGCCGCAGGCCCCGGCGCTTGTTCCTCGCTTCCTCTTCCTTCTCCCCGATGCAGGGGCTCTGCCTGATCCCCGCAGCATTCCCGAGTCCTGCTCCCAAAGCCGCCCAACCCTTCTCCCGCCCAGAGCTCTGCTGTGCCGGTTCCCAGCCTGGCAATGGCTGAGATCTTGTGGGTGCTGCGGCTCCGTGCCCAGGGTGGGGAGCTCTGTCACCCTGCTGCCAGCCCGCACTGACTGCAGCTGCAAACTTCAGCACTGACCTAGACTCACTTTTTTTCACCAGTTCTTCCTCCGTTTGTCCTTCTTGGTTGGTTTTTCCCCCTACTCTGTTCCTCTTTATGCTGTTAAACCTCTAGCTCGGAGCAGCCTGGGGATATCTGTCCTGGGGAGAGCCCGTGGCTCTGCTGAAGGACGTGAGCAAGGAGAGAGGAAGGGGAGCGGAGCTGTGGTATCAACAGCCCTCATCAAGGGGAAACGTGATGAGCTGGTAGACCCAAGCAGCGTAACGCATCGTCACGTTAGCCGTCCGCGGTCACAGTACCTCCTTTGCCCACAGAAATACTCTTGTTCAGGCTTCGCTCACATGGGACAGGCCTCCGTTGTAGATCCACGCGTTGAAATGCTGATGTGTGAAAGCGGTGAATAAAACTGCTCTCGGCTAACGTGTTCTTCTTTTTTTCTTTTGCAGGAACGCCAAGGCCGTGTCAAGTAAAAGGCCATTCCTCCCACAGAGACTGCAGCAGAGATTGCATCCCAGCTGTCTTTCAGAGAGAGAAAGAAAGAGCAAAAATATCCCAGAAAGAATTAGGACTTTTTTTTTCTTAATTTCATTGACTTCAAAAAGACTCTTACAAACTTGCGGTTTAAAAAAGGAAAAAAAAAAAGTATTGGAATTTCACAAGACATAGGACTTAAAAAAAACAAAAACAACAAAAAAAATCCCTTCTAGGTAGAGTATAGGTAAAACCTGTCCCCTTTCTTTTGGCTTTGGTTGTGATTTCAGAGCATACGCTTTGTTTTTTGTCTTTTTACTATGTTTTTTCGGATTTTAAAGTCCATAAGTGGCATATGCCTTTTTTTTCTCTAATTTTTAAACCCCGCCGCTTCCCTTCCTTCCACCCCCTTGCGCCTCCTTCCCCTGGTTTTGACATTTGCACTTGGAACACCGAGTTGTAACATCCACCACGGAAAGTGGAGTAACTTCTTTTTTTTTTCTCCCCCCCACCCCAGCCTGGAAGAGGAGGAATTCTATGAGGAAGTTGGGGTTTTGGCCTAAGAAGAATTGAACAGAAATTGTCCATGAGGTTGTGTCTTAAAGGTGGTTCATTTTTCTCTGACCCTTTGTTACTCAAAGTCAAGTACTAGGAGTCCTAAGAAATGTTCTGTTCTTGTGCATTATACGGATTTACAGATTAAGCCTGGATTAATTTGATTTTGAAAGCTGAGAACAGTGGTAAAAACTTGTTTTGTTTACAGGAAAATGAATTTTGGACAAAAAAAAAAAAAAGAAATATTGTAAAATGTGTAGTGAATATGTTTCTTCAGTTTCTTGTTAAGCCAATGAGGAATGGGCGTTGCCTTTCTTTTCACCATTAATCACTTCTCAATAATAAACGTGAGATCCTGTTGAGCATCACTGTTGTCTGCCGCTCCCTTTTCAGCGCTGCCCGCTCCGCGGCGGAGCGAGGACGTGCGCCCCATTGTGCACAACGACTCAGGAGTTCGCTGCTGTATTAATACCTTAAAATAATGAGTGAAGCGTGGTTTCTCCTTGGGTTCGAAGCAGGGTGCTGTGACCCGTCTGTGGGCATCCCGAGCTCGGTCCTGGCGCAGCGCCGGGGTTTGTTCCCAGCACAGCGGGATCGTTCTCGCTCCTTGATGCATGCGGGAAGATGTCCGGTGGCGTGGGCTGGCACCAGGTGGAGCCAGCCAGCCCTCCCCAGGGCGAGAGGATTCGTTCCCGTTTCATGGGTAAGTTGGGGGTTATCCGGCTCCTTCCAGGTGTATGAAATCCCGGATGATCTTCCCTGGGAAAACTGCCCGAGGTCAGGAAATCAAAAATCCAGGTTTTCTTGTTCTGGCACTTCAGAGGGAATAAAAGAGCCACAAATGAATCTGCTGTCTGAGCCAGTAACTGTGCTTTGATTGACAATACTTAATGGGTCGTCACCAAGGAAAATTGTGCTATATTGAAAATATTTCTGTTATTAAATCGCAGTTGGGAAACATCCAGAACCAGCCAGCTGCCGGCTCCGCTCTTCTCGCCTGGGGCGGAAAATCAGCCTGGTGAGCCTCTCTCTCCCATCACCCCGTTCCTGCCCCGCGCAGGACAGCGAATATTCACACGCCCTGCGTGCACTCACCAAAAAGGGTGCTGAATTTTTTTTTTTTTTTTTTTTTTTTAACTCTTGCTTCTGAAAAGCAACCGAACAAAACCCAGCTCCAAAGAGCCCGGTCCGTGTCGGGTAAGGACCCGGGCTGCTTCCCTGGGAGGCTCGGGCTGGTGTTTCTGCACGTGTCAGAGGCAGTTGTGTGGTCTTTTGCATTTTACTGGGATATTTTACTTGTTTTCTCCGGAAGAATTCCTGTCCTCTTAATTCTTTGATGGCTTTGGCCTCTCTGTCTCTGAGCTGGCCAAAAACCCAAATTCCTTGCTGGTGTCCTCATATGTTTTCAGAGGGAGCATAAAACCTGCGTTGTTTGCAAAGCTGGAGGAAATAAGGGCAGAAAGCTTGACTTGATTAAAGGCCTAAATGAAACAATTTGTAGTTTGAGAGAATCTTAATTGTGAGTTAAAAGAAAGCCGGAGGGTTTTTCTGCTGTGCCTGGCAGGTGCTTGCGTCCTCGGTTTCGCTGTTGGTCAGACCCGTGATGCTCCTGCTTTTGGTCTTCAAGCAACCACCCGAGAGAGACGCGAGAGGAACAGGAAGGTGCGATTTGAAAACCGCAATACTTCAGATGCAGGTGTGGTACCTGCAATTATTTTTACATAAGAAAAAAAAAAACCCACCTGACTGATGACTTCAGTCGCAAGCCGTAGATCCACGTCCTCTAACCTGGGACGGCCCCACGCCGGTGTCGCGTGCTGCTGCTTAAATTTCCCCTTGTGTTCAGCTGCGTGAGAGCTAAAATACTTTTTTTTTTCTTTTTCCTCTTTTAAGGCAAAGCAGGTGAATTGCTGGGACGGCGCAATCCCGATGCCTGGCTTCCCTGCAGGATTTATTCCGCAGCGCCTTCAACCTTGGCATCACTTCCATGGAAACCAGCCGCCTCCGGGGCTGTGCGTGAGGGTGGGAGTCCGGCGTCCCCGGGGACCCGAACCAGCCCCGTTTCACCCCAAACTGGAGAGGGGAGAGAACTAGAGGTAGTTTTCTACCTCGCTGGCTGGCTGCACTCCTCCTTTGCTGCTTGGGAAAGCTTCCAGAGCACAACCGAAAGGATAACACCAAAACAGGGCCTGATGTTAATCATTAGCAGGATTTTTTTTTAAAGGAAGAGGCCAAGTGAATGTCCCAGGGAGCAGAAATAGTCCTGGGAAAGGGGGGGGTAGCTCAGATATGGGGAAAAAAGTGGGTATTTGATGCATGACTGGGAGGCAGCTGCTTCTGCCGACCCTTCCGAGGATGCTCGGAGGGCAGGAGTAGTGGGGACCAGTTTCAGTCTGGACCTGGTCCTGTTCTGGTCTAAACTGGGACAAAAAGGGGAACTTTCTAATGCACCTGAGGAGGCTTTGCTTTCAGCCGGCTGCAGCATGGCTGTGCGCGGCAGGCTTCGGGATACGGGCAGAAAAATCCACCTGAAATTATAACCGAAGACCCCAACGGCGTGCAACACCGTCTCCCTGTGAGTATGGCGCAGGTAAGAGTAAAAAGGTGTTGAGTGCTGCTATTTATTTGGGGGGGAAAAAAAGGGGCAAAATATTTGCAGGGTTCCCTGGGCTGCGGGGGGAAGGGATCCCTGTCTGGTTTTTACCTGCTTAGAGGGAGGGGAGCTCCCCCTGCCCACTGCCCTCGCTGGCAGGGGCTGGGATGCTGTAGGGAAGCAGGGGACGGAGGCGAGCGGGGGGCTGTGCTCCCCGGGTGCCATCGCAAGAAAAGCCTCTGCATTCCCTGAAGTCCTATCGACCCGGGCTCGGCCGTTGCACAGTGGGTCCCTGCGGGGCTGACGGGCTTTTCCCAGCTGTTTGCAAACCCCCCCGACCCTGGGGAAGGAGCAGCTCCGCTGAGCCCTGGGGGCAGCAGGGTCCAGGCGGGGGGGTTTGGGGGTGCAGCGTTCCGTGCTGTGGCCGAGCACCCTGGGCTGCTCTCGCTGTTGGCGTTGGCTGCAGCTCTGCTCCTCGTTTATTTGCTCGGAAAAAGGAAATTCCCAGATCTCCCCATAATGAGGGAGGGGAAAAAAAAAAAGCTGGAAAACGTGAGAGTTAAAGGCTTGAAATCCAAAAGGCAAAAGCAAAAATCCCTGAGGTGGGTGCAAGAGCACCGCCTGGGAGTGTGCGGGGCTGGGGATCGCCGCGGGAGGGCTCCCGTGGGCTGCTCCTCGTTTATTTGCTCGGAAAAAGGAAATTCCCAGATCTCCCCATAATGAGGGAGGGGAAAAAAAAAAAGCTGGAAAACGTGAGAGTTAAAGGCTTGAAATCCAAAAGGCAAAAGCAAAAATCCCTGAGGTGGGTGCAAGAGCACCGCCTGGGAGTGTGCGGGGCTGGGGATCGCCGCGGGAGGGCTCCCGTGCTGCCCTGCCTGCTGCCCTGCCTGCTGCCCTGCACCGCTCGGCACGGCTGTGTGTGGTTATGTACTGCTGCGCGTGGTTGTGCGCCACTCTGCGCCCCTGTGCATGGTTGTGCGCCCCTGTGTACTGCTCTGCACCCCTGTGCGCTGCTCTCCCTGCCTCTCCCGGCCGTTCTGGGGCTGCAGAGCATTGCAAGGCCTGGGAGGCAGCGGTGCTTGCAAGGAAGGACAAGATACTTTTAAAATAAGCATCTTTGATGGCTCCGGGCTGGGGCAGAGGCTGCGTGGTATCAAGGAGCCTGGTGCCATCGCTGCAGCCCTCCCTCTGTGGCCTTGAGTCACTGACTGTGGTCCTGCAGGGACCCCGAAGTCTCTGGGGACGAGGGGGAGGTGGGGGGGTCTGAGCATCCAGCTCCCCCTTGGGCGATGCCAAATGCGTGGCCAGGCTGGAGCCCGGCTCCTTCCCCCGGAGGAGGGTGGGTGCTGCACCCCCGCTGCCAGAGCAGGGGCTGGAGCCTGGGGGGCACAGGGGACCCCTGCACGGGGCCGCGGAGGCTCAGCAGGGCTGGGTGCTGGGACAGCCCCCCTTGTGTGCGGCTCTGGGGGGACCCACAGCTCTTCGGGTGCCCAGGGGTCCCTTGGGAGGGTGGAGAGACCAGCCTGGGTGCGATGCCCTGCCTCCGACCCACCACAGACGGGGGAGCACCCCTGTCCTCAGGCCACTGGAGATGAGCGGGGTGCAGGGGTGCTGGGAGCCCAGCGCAGTTCGCCTTGTTCCCAGAGCCAGCTTGGGGGATGATGAGATCCTTCATGGACAAACCAGCCCCTTCCCTTCCCGGCTGCCTCGAGACAGCCCCGGCCCCTCGGGTCGCCTCCCACCCCAGGCTGTCTGGGGGGAGCTGAGCAGCAGGACAGAGTCCGACCCCAGCCGGACCCTCTTTTTGGGGCTTGCAGGGTGTTTAATGGCCGTTGTTGGCTCCTTCATCCAGGCCTTTTTGTTTTGGTGGCCGGGAGGGGATGGAGCGCGATGCCCGGTCCTGCCCTCCCTGGGTTTCGGGATGAGAATGCAAAGATCTGGGATGAGAAAGG